TTTCGTATTCTATCCAAGTTTGACTGGGGGTTTTTCTTGTTTTGGTTTTAGCTTTCTGCACCATTAAAGATTTGGAAAGAAACCAGACCATGCGTCAATGGCCTTGACTTTCCCCTGTGTCACACTATGGTTCACTGTTTTCGTGATTTTTGCCGTTGCATTCACGTTAAAGGTTTCAACAAATGTATCTGTTAATTATTTTTGTGTTTTATTAAATCCTAAGTTTTTGATTTGATTTTAAGTTTATCCTAAAAGTTAGGAAGCTGCTGCTCAGGATCGATCTCTGATGCATGCTGTAGCGAATCTCGGTGGCTTGTGTATCAGCGCCCTCTTTAGACTACTGCTAGTGCAACAGTGCGCTTGTGGTTTTCTTACACACCTAATCATGCAGAGTTGCAAAACCAGTGTCCATTCAATACCACTGGCAGATTAACCGTGCATGCCCAGTTTCTCAGCTAGTTAATTACAATTAACTCTTCAACAACTAGTGGTTTTCCCTTCTAATCCTTGGGGAAATAATGGCCACTTGTCACTTTCCGACATAAAAAACCTGACTGTTTTATCAAGTTGACGTTTGGAAATTACACACAGCAACTGCATAGTGTTCAGTAGGTTTTAAGCACAAAATATTGGGAGCCAAGGACGATGTTCGGTGCAGCCAAATGTTCAGTATAGCGGTGTTCCACTATAGTGTTGTGAGATCATGTCGAGTAGGAATGAGGGGACGAATATTCAATTTCGTATACTTCAGCACACAAAGTTTCAAAGATGCACATTACCAGCGAAAATTTACGTAACACAATGTTAACTGTGGTGCATTGTGAATGAAAGGTGGGGACAACAGTACATGAGGTACTGCTATAACGTTTAAGTCATGTGACTTGTCACCTGAGGACATCATAATTACATCAGGTAAATTTTCATCTATAACAGTTCCCTTTCTAAATTTCTGTAAAATTCAAGGATGTAATTACTGATAATTACAGATACTGGTAATTACAGATATGCCCACAAATGTAGTACATGCTTCCATCCGGGCAACTGGGTTGCAGTTTGCAAACTAGGGAAGTTGACAACAGTCGGTTCACCTTATTCTTGTCGTAAGGGTAAGAGTTTGTAAGCCCACTGATCACTCTGGGCAGCCCAAGTATAAACCCACTCAGACTGCTATGTCTACTGAGCATGCCAAGCATTCAACACTGGCTCCTAAGCTTTCCTCTGGGAATTCCTTTCGTCCCCCAACACCAATTAAGATCTTTGTTTTAAGAAAATGGTCAGCACGTTATCCTAAGGCAGTTGATGTGCAACTGCTGGAGAGGGGTTTCTCATGCAGTTTTTCACTACAACATCAGGGCCCCAGGCACAGCCAACAGGCAAGTTGCCTACTCTCAGCTGCAGCTCACCCTCACATTATTAGAGAAAAGATACAAAAGGAAATAGACCTTAATAGAATTATGGGTCCATTCCCAGCCCCGCTATTCCCAACGCTGCAGTGCTTACCTATTTGTTTAGTACCTAAGCTGGAACCTAATACATTCAGGCTCATCCACCACCTTTCCTACCCAAAAGGGCAATCGATAAATGATTTTATTGATAAGGAAAATTGCACAGTGCATTATGTCTCGTTTGATGAGGCAGTGCATTTAGTGATGGCAGCGGGGCATGGGGCGTAGTTGGCAAAATCTGATATTAAATCGGCTTTTTGATTACTTCCAGTGACTCCTCCAGATTACGACCTTTTGGGTTTCACATTCGAGGGCCGCTATTATTATGACAAATGTTCCATTTCGTGTTCCCTTTTTGGGAAATTCAACATGTTTTTGGAGTTCAAAGTGCAGGAGATTGCTGACAGTTCAATGATTACTCACTATCTTGACGATTTCTTATTCGTCGGACCTAGTTCAGATGAGCCAAGCACTCGTGCAGGTATTTGAATCGGTATGCACAGTGCTTGGCGTGCCCATTGCACAAGAAAAAAACAGAAAATCCACTTCAGAAATTAACGTATTTGGGTTTAGTAATCGATGCTGTCTCGTGGCAGGTCTGGGTCCATGTGGTCAAAGTCAATGTGCTCACGGATCAATTACTCTCATCTTTGGGTAAGAAAAAGATTACTCTGGTTGCACTGCAGTCATTAATTGGTTCACTCAATTTCATCTGCAAGGCCATTGCACCTGGGCGGAAATTTATAGGCCACCTTATTGCACTTACACGGGGGTAACTATGTCCCATCACAAAATTCGGCTTACTCATGGGGCGCGACAGGACATACTCATGTGGGTCGAATTCCTCAAACATTTCAATCGGGTTTCCCCGTTTTTGGGTGAAGAGTGACAAACAAAATCATCCTTGCAATTATACACCAATGCAGCGGCCAACATTGGATATGGAGCGTGCTTCGGTTCACAGAGGGTTCAAGAAAGATGGCCACCGGATCTGCTTTGAATATAACCGTCCATTGCCTTATTAGAATTTTAACCCATCCTGGTCACTGTAAAGTGTTGGGACAGGCGCTGTCTAATTAATGAGTTCTGTTTCACTGTGATAAAGGCAGTTGTGCACATCATTAACAAGCAAACATCTGGTTGCCCCAGAATACTGCACCTTTTGTGGCTCTGTTTTGGAATGTCTACGCTTCAATGTTCAGTTTAAAGCGGTACAAATTTTCCCACCACCTTCCCTTTCCTCCTCTGATAAAACACCCCCATGGCTTAAAAATGATTTGTTACTCTTGACATGATGAAATTCTAAATAATACGTACATGGATAAAGTTCATTGTGATGCACTATGTAATTAACTCGATGGAATACCTCATGTCTAATGGTGCTTGTAACTATGTCTTCCCTTGAGTAGTGCAACAGGGGAGGATAAACAATTCTTTCTACTGTAAGTGCAAACGAAGAAAGAATGGTGTTGGTAAACTCATTTGTTGACTCTGCATATGGACATAATAATTATTATGGTTTGGTGAAGTTTTGAAGTGTTCTGGAACTATCCTAACAAATTGTCACTTCGGCCTATCATAAGGTCATTGTCATTGAGCTGTGGTGCTCCAAGTCAAATGGTGCTTGGAGCTGTTGATGCTCTTTGGCCTTGGTGGAAACCCAAACAGTGAATAATGATGAACTTGGCTTTCCAGGTCAAATGGTGCTTGGAACTATGGGCACTTTGAGCCTTTGTGGGTGCTAAAAGAATTCATATAGAATGGACGCTCCGAGTCAAATGGTGCTTGGAGCTATGTTTCTGGGCCTTTGTGGGTGCCCGAAGAATGGATAGTGATATAATGTGTCGCATGCAAGATAAGTCAGCCGCCCAGATTTCTTTGCCTGACACATCAATATGATGAATAAATTTCTTCTGCCTCAGGCGTGCACACACACCAGTATTTTTGTCTTTGTGTGTTTCATGTTGTCTGTTTATGAAGATGTATTGTATGGTAAATGCTTAATTAGCATATCTAAATTTTTCCCTTGTGTTTTACCCGTGAGCATGCACACAATGTGGTAAAAAGTGAATGATCTTGCATTATACTTGTGCTTAACTGGGTCAAAAGGTCATGCAGAAATTAATTTGCACGTGTTTGAACACCGAGTCAAAAGAAACAGACATGTACACATATCTGGCCTTTATTTCACATAACTTACTTGGCTGGAAAGAGCTTGCCCTTCCATGCAACAATTTCTATGATTAATATACTTTCTTTGGTGTTGTGCAACTAAGCTCTACATGTGTATTGTGGGGACATTCTGCCAAGCAACCACCTTAATTGGCAGGTCATTTAGTTGAACAAGGCCTGAGTAAGCAATAAAAGTCATGTGTCAAATTTAAGGCAGCTGCACTTGCGTGAGTAAGTGCAGAAGTAATCAAACACGCCGAGTGATTTTAAATTGTTTACACTTACTTTGAAGATGCACTGTTCCCATGGGCAACATGGATGGCTGAAACAACTCCACATTGCCATATTCATTTCGAGGTACCTTGCCATCGACTGCTGCAGGTGGGATGTACAACTCAGTCTGCCATTGACCATACAATGCTACAAGAGGCTCAAAGGACTTATTCTGGAAAGTACATGAGAGAGAAAAATGTGAGAAAAAAGAAACATGAACGAGAATACGTTTCACTTGCTTTCACCCCCTTAAAATGGCCAATGGTATGAAGTAGTGAAGAAGTGCACAATCTATTCAGAACACCATCCAGTTATAAGCCAGTGTTTGTCACAATTATCATGAAAATTTTTAAACATAAGCAAAACATGCTGGGGATAGAAGGTATCTTTGGGGTCCATCAAATGTCTCCAGATCCTTGTCCAAGCATGCATCAGTGACAAAGATACTGGTCTGCACTTATTAACCACTTCCTGCCGGGGACTCCAGGATCGGAGACGTATGGTTTATATGCGTGGCCGGGGTCTCCGAACTCGGACAAAGGAAACAGGGCCCTGTAACAAAAGACCATACTCCAAACAAAACACCAGGCTGCTGGGCATTACGGACATTTTTCACTCTCAAAAG